CGTGGCCTGAGCCGAAGACGCGGCAGTGATGGCCTTGTCTGGAGGCTTCGGGGGTTTCTGTCCCTGCAGCAGTGGCCTGACGCTCAAGCCCTCCTTCCCTCGGTACCTGCACGTGCTGGCCCCCTACGTGAACCAGGTGAACCTCATCCGAGCCGGCGTCCCCAAAATCGTGAGTAGAGTTTGTTTAGCTCCGATACCCAGTGCGGAGGCTGACGGGCAGGGCCGGGCGTCCTCTGAGAGTGTGACTGGGATTGTGATGGAAACCGGGACTAGGGTTGAAGAGTTTCACATCCCTGCTTAAAAAAAATTACTGTGGGGACCAGGTGGGGTGGTGCTTAAGGCGCTGGACACTCCCACGTGGCCTACCACGATTCGAGTCCAGGACCTGGTGGCTTTCACTTTCCCTCTCTCTCTCCCTCTGTGTGTGTGTCTCTCTCTGGTCAAACCAAAATAAAATGAATGAATATGTAAATAATTATTAAAAAATATACTCTGCGTGTGTGTGTTTCTGCCAGAGCAGTGTGGAGTCCTTCGTCCCTCCCTTCCCTTCTCCGCCCCCCAACCTCAAACATAGCCTTTCTTGTTTTTTCTTTTCTTTTCTTTTCTTTTTTTTTTTTGTGTGTGTCTTTTTAAGCATCTCCAAATTGGGTAAGCCGTCAGAACTGAGGAAAACTTGTATTCACTTTCTAGAACTTTTCTGGCCCAGATTACCCGAGCGTCCGTCCCCCCATCCTCCTCCTCAGCGTCAGGAGGTGGCCTGGCATCAGTGAGCAGCAGGTGTACCGTGAGTTCCAGAATCTCTGCAAGTTCGACGTCCGGCGGCTCACGCCCAGCCAGTTCCTGCTGCTCACCAACAAGTTCAAGGAGTAGGTGCCCCTGCCCCGCGGCCCCTCCGCGCCCGCCCGCCGTGGCTGGGCTGACCCAAGCCAACTCCTTTGGCAGTGCTCGGAACGTCCTGAAGGAGTTCAGGGGCCACCCCACCCTGCGGGTCTCCCTGTACCGGTACTGGAGGCACTCGCCGGACGTGAGCTGCGCGCTACAGTGAGTATGGCGGGGCGTGTGCACCAGGGGGTGACGCGGCAGTCCAGTGACTCTGCACGTCTGGGACGTGTCACGGGGTGAGGGGGGCTGCAGCAGGTCCTCGGGATCCACCAGTGAGTAGAATGAAGGTCCCTTCTGGCAGGAGGTGACAAACAGTGAACAGAATAAGCCAGATAACGTGTAGGTGACAGGTGTTGAAACGAGAAGAGGGCTGGGGCTGGGGTGGAGGGTCTGGAGGAGGTGACAGTTCAGTGGAGATGCTGGGACCTCATTAAAGACCCTGGAGGTGGGAGGGAGAGCCCGGCAGGGCCACCTGGGAGCTGAGCGGGGTGGAGCAGGATGCACCTGGCAGAGCGCTGTGGAGGAGCTGGGTGCTTCCTTAGCGGGGGTGTGGGCTGAGGACTCTGGGTTTCACCCTGGGAAAGTGGAAGGATGGGGGTGTGGAGGACACATGCCCTATGAGCACTGCTCTGTCCTCTGGGTCGAGCTGGAGGAGGCAGAGCGGGGAGCACAGGCAGAAGGTGCCAGCCAGGGAACTGTGCGTCTGGCCTGCATGAAGCCCGGCGGAGACAGAGGAGGGTCCGTGCAGACCCACGGTTCAGGGCCCCAGCAGCTCGGAAGATGGCACTGCTGTTAAGCTCTGTCAGCTTGCCGATAGCCATTTCCAGAGAAACCAGCGCTGCTGAAGAGAACCACTGGGCTCCCAGGCAGCCCTTCCCTCTGCCGACCTGTGAAGTGAGTCCCTGGTACCAGGGAGCGACCACCTGCAGAGCCTTTGAGCCTTTGAGGCAGCAGCTTGGCGCTGGCCCTGGGGCACGAGGAAAGGAATGGCATCAGGTTGTGTCCTGGGGCGGGCCTCGTCGCGGTCTTTTGGCCCTTCCAGGGCCCCCCGCTCCCCAAGCTCTGCCCTGCCCATGGTCGTGTCTTGCAGAGTCTGTGGCATCATCACCACCTGGGCCCTCCTCGCGTTTCTCCTCGGAAGATCTAGCCCCTGATGGCCACAGCCGCTGCCATTGTCCGTCTCGGCGCCTCTCGGGTGGCTGTCCTGGGTTCTGCTCGCGTAAATCATCGTCCACTTGCGGACGGGTCTGAAATTTTTTTACGTATGTGACGTTCTGTAAACACTATCAACGGTGAAGAAATCCTTGGTATAGCACCTGAGTGTGGCCACAGCTTTTCTTTCTGCTAATGACCGGGGAGAAGTCACCAGCCCTAGGGACTTGAGCCGGGCCTCCAGATAGTCCATGACGGGGAGCCGGACACCCGCTGAGCAAAGGCTGCGTGACTTCTGAGGAGCGTGCATGGCCAATAGGCTGATGTCGATTTAGCCCGAGAAACCGCCACGCTTAGGGGAGGAGGAGGGCAAGCTTGGTGGGTCAATGTCCACGCTGGTGACATTTGTGGTTGTATTGTAAGTCATAAAATGTTGGTTCACTTTAGAAAAAACTCATTCCCTGGGACCAGCAGTTAGCGGAATGGCTATGTCGCTGGCCTCCCATGTAGTCAACCGCAGTTCAAGTCCCGGACCTGGTGGCCAAAACTCATGCTGGGCGCGTGTGCGTGAGTGCCCAAGATCCCGAGAGGAGAATGGAGGAGAAGGGATTGTGGCATCGCCATCCCCCCTGGGGGGTGATTTTTCGCTTTCTGTCTCTGTCTTTCTGGCGAGTGCATGCATGTGCCCTAGAGCAAAAACCTCTCCAAATGAAATGATGGGCCCAAAAGAAAAAACCTCCCCAAAAAAAAAAAAAGAGAGAAGAAAAAAAAAGAAAAAAACATTCCCCATAGCACCCGAGGTTGCCTTGAAAATCGGGCATTTTCTCTGCAGGGTCCTACAGGAGCCTTTGTTTTCTGGAAAGATCTGAACTTGGCTGGGCTCTTTGTATAATTTCATATCTTTTTTTAAGAGAGTTTTTGTTGCTATCTGGAGTGTGTGCTTGCTGAAAAGATAGAGACAGAGAGACAGAAAGTGAGTGGTCACCCCCAGGGGGCATGGCCATGCTATAATCCCTTCTCCTCCGTTCTCCTCTCAGGACTCTGGGCGCGCACGCACACATTTCCTGTATGAATTTTAAGCCACCAGGTCTGGGAATCGAACCGCAGTTGCCTGTGTGGAGGTCCAGCAACGTACCATTACACCATCTGCTGGTCCCTTTGCCCAACTTTCAATGTCACTTGTGGACTCAGCTAAGCCAGCTTAAATTCAGGCTGGAAGACATTTTTTCTCAAAAAAAAAAAAAAAAAAAAAAAAGCCGTGGCAGCCATCCATTGTGAGTGAGAGAGCTGCTTTTCCAGAAGTCACAGCCCTGCCCCAAGGTACAAGTGACACAGTGACCCCACCCACTGCAGCTCATGATCATACAAGCCAGGCCATGCTGGTGGCAGCAGGTGGCCTCAGTGGCACCCCTAGTGCTGGTGGCCTGGGGTTGAACGTGGCCTTGCATACGCCGAGGAGGCCCTTTGTCTTTGGCGGGCTGCGGGCCCCACTGCATGGAGGTCAACCCCACACGTGGCCTGCAGCACCACAAAACTTACTTCTCCACTGAGCGTGCAGGTGCCCTCAGCCTCCCCAGGGAGGAGCAGGGCGAGCACTGTCACAGCCCCGATGGTTCTGGAGTGAGGGAGTCCTGCGGTGATTCCGTTGGGCCTTAGTCTGGCCCTTAGCCGGGACTTGGTTGTGTGCACAGGGCTGCAGGTAGGGTCCTGCCTCTGTAGTGACCCCGGCTAACAGAGCTCTGCTTGGCCCGTGCTCCCAGGAGACCGGGTGGTGCCTGCCCACGTTGAAGGCAGGTCTTCCTCTTAAAGGCCTCACTGCCTCCCATCACCATCGCTTGAGGGACAAAGTCCCAACCCACACTTGGAGGGACAAGCCATTATCTAAGCCATGCAGGTGTTCCCCCGAGCCTCCGGTGTCTTCTCTCTCCCCAGGGCCCCCTCAGTCCTTTAGGTGTCCTGATCGAGGTCTCGGTGCCCTCAGCGCTGTACTAGCCTGACCCCGACGCTGTTCTCTGGCAACCTGCTGAGCTTGCCTGGACTACGTGGGCACTCCTGTATCACCGTGGAGGACAGCAGCAGGGCCTGCTCGGCTGGGAGCCCCGCCTCTTCCTCTGTCATGATATGACCTGCCTCTGTACGAGTCAGGGAGGGGAAGCGGCTCATCTCCACTCCCCAGAGCCCTGTGGCTCCTGCTCCAGATCCCAAGCCCTCGGCCTCCGTGGCTGGGCCCGCTGTCTCTCTGGTAGCCAGTGGGCTTCCATCTGTGAGCTTAGTGTCCCCCTTCCCTTGTCCCGGCTTGCTCCACTTGCACCTTTAGACTCTGCTCAGTGGACATCTCCAGGGTCTAGTCACTGATGTCCCACTGCACGTGCCAGTGTCTGCCCATCCAGTGTCTGCACACATGCTGCTGTGTCCCAGACATGCAGCACTGCATGGCTGTGTTCCCTGCCTGGCCCCTGCAAAGACGGGCACTGGGTCTGGCCTGTGGGTCCTGCAGGGGCCTCAGGGTGGTCACAAGTCAGCACTTGCCCGTGGCTGGAGCCTCCACTGTTTTCAGAAAACTGTTTGCGTTTGTTGGTGATGCTCAAGTGAGGTGCTTAGAGAAAGGCCCAGAGCCTCACGTTTTACGTAACTGGCGTGGTTCTGCCTCTGCAGGAGAGGGAAGGACAAATGGCCCCACAACCTCCCCAGGGCAGGATGTGCTTCCTGGTCCCTGGTCCTGACTGCGCACGAATGCTGTGACTTCACATCCTTGCTCTTAGCATTTTAGCTCTTGGGCCATCAGGTGGTGTGGAGGTTAATTAAGGCTGCTGGATCCCACATAACCAACGGTGCTGCTCAAGTCCCAGACCCAGCCACTTGAAATGCATGCTGGAGGAACCAGCAGTTAGTGTAATGGCTATGCCACTGGACTCCCACATAGTCGACTGTGGTTCGAGTCCTGGACCCGGTGGCTTAAAACTCACGCCGGGCGCGTGTGCATGCGTGCCCAAGATCCCGAGAGGAGAATGGAGGAGAAGGGATTGCGGCATGGCCATTCCCCCTGGGGGGTGATTTCTTGCCTTCTGTCTCTCTGTCTGTCTCTGTCTGTCTGGGGAGCGCACACGTCCTATAGTGAAAACCTCTCCAAAAAAAAAAAAAAAAAGCATGCTGGGCACTTGCGCTTGCATGACCCAAATCCTGAGCGGAGAATGGAGGAAGGATTTCAGAGTAGCCACTCCCACAGGGGGTGATTTCTCTCTTTTCCTTCCCCGCTTCTGGTAAGCACACACACCCTGTTGCAAACTATTAAAAAAAATGTAATTTTTTGTATCTTGTTTCTTTGTAGTTGAAGCTATTTCCATGAGATGACTTTTAGTGTGAGAAAGACTGTGACTAGAAATAGTCTTTAAATGGATCTTAAAATGAGCTAACCTTTCCTTTATGTCCTTCAAGTACTGTCTTAGTTTGGACTGCTGTGACCAAAATACCACCAGCTGGGTGGCTTAAACAGCAGGCGTTCATTTCGCAAGTTCTGCAGGCTGGAAGTCTCGCTCCGGCCAGCTGATTCTGTTCCTGGCCGGAGGCCGCTTCCTGTCTTGCAGAGAGCTCCTTTAGCTGCATCCTTGCATGGCAGAGAGAGAGCACGCGCTCGTCTCATGGGCACTCCTGTCCGAGAGGGCTCTACCCTCATGGTCTAGTGGCCTCCCCAAAGTCCCCCCTCCAGATACCATCACAGGCATTAGGAATTTTGGGGGGACACAAGCAGTCAGTCCCCAACAAGTACCTTTCATTTTCTCTAAAACATGTAGAAGCTCACGCCATCCGTGATTACTACACAAAGCTTGTATATTTCTCGGTTGTCTTTTTAGCAAGTTAGATGAGACGGCAACAGTAATTTTCTCGGAGTGAAAAATGTGGCAGAGGCTGCACATTTTGCAATACTCTTTGACTAGGGAAAAACGAAGGCTGTGACTTTTTTTCTTTTTAGTTTTGCTATAGGGCAAATACGTTCCCTGGGAGTGAAGAAGGGAAGGGGAGAAAAAGAAGGAAGTCATCCCTCCCAGGGGGATGGCCATGCTGTAATCCCTTCTCCTCCAGTCTCCTCTCAGGATTTTGGGCACGCACATGCATGAGCCGGGTGTGATTTGCAAGCTGCCAGGTCCGGGATTTAAGCCTCACAGTCAGCCATGTGGGACCAGTTGCCTTAACCATCATGCTCCTGGCTGGCCTTCCCAGGTCAGTCCTCTCTGTTTTGTTTGCTGTGGGCATGTGTGCTTGCTAGGAAGAGGCACGGTGAAAGGGAAAGTGAAAAATCACGCCTGCACACATCGTAACCCCTTCTCCTCCATCATCCCCTTGGGATTTCGGGTATGCACACATACACGCCTGGCACGATTTTCAAGCTGCCAGGTCTGAGGTTTGAACTGTGCAGTCAGCCATATAGGATCTAGCTGCCTTAACCTTCATGCCACCCGCTGGTCCCCTAATTTCCCTTTTTACTAACAATAGAGCATGTGAATGCACATGAGAGAAGAGAGAAAAAGTACTCCCCAGGAGGTTTGGTCATGCTGTAATCTTTTTTTGATTATCCAGTCAGGTTCTGGGCATGTGTATGCGCCCCATGTCACGGCCAGGGCTGAGATTTGAACCCTTGTCAGCTGTGTGTAATACAGCTTTCTCTGGGATTCAAACCTTAGTGAGTTGTGTGGAATCCAGCCCCCTCTGTACAGCACCTACCCGCTGTGCTACGGGGCTGCCAAGGGTGTTTTGTTTCTGTGATGTCGGAGACTTGCCAAATTAAAAAAAAGAGCAAATATATTTGGGGAAATTAAGTGACAATTGGAAACTTGTTGGGGGGAAAAGTAGCCAAGTTGACCAGCCCCACCTGCCATGTGAGAGTGAATTAACTAGCATGGGCCTAGAGCATGTGCACTCACCTCAGAGACAGAGAGAAAGTGAGAAAGCACCCCCCATGAGGGATGGCCACACCGCAATCCCGTCTCCACTCTCCTCATGGGGTTTTGGGCATGCACACACATGTGCCCGATGTGATTTGTAAGCCACCAGGTGCAGGACCTGAACCGCAGTCAACCATGTGAGATCCAGCGCCTTAGCCTCCCTGCCACCTGCTGGCCCACAGTTTTAACCATTTTAATCTTGACGCTGATTCGCTGCTTACAGTCCACGGTGTGTCAGGTTTCATCGGCATGTTTTCTTCCTGGGCACACCTCGGAGCTGTGTGAGAGTTGATGGA